CACATCACATCACATCACATCACATCACATCACATCACATCACATCATATCATATCACATTACATCAGGCAGGACATAAAACCAGGTTCTCCAAAAAGGGTTTGCAGCTTCCATAGATAATGACCTATACGGGATCCACAGAGAAATAAGGTTCCATAGATAGAGTTGGTGAGGACCTCCCTAGGCTCTTACCTGAGGATAACATTGTGCTGATTGCATTAAACCCCAGACCATTACAGGGCCTCCTCAATGAGATTCCTGGCTTTTGTGATTACTCAAAAGAAATCAGCCTAACAACCCATATTGGAAAAACCAAAAAGATGAACAATACCTATTGTACAGACTATGACGTTGGATGTCCAGTTGCCTGAAGCAGAACATCGATATATATTTTCTGTCAACAGGCAGTGAGGCGGTCCCAGAACTGAATAGGAAGATAACAGGCTATATTGCATTTGAGAAATCATACTCTGCAAGCAGTAAACACTAAATAATTGTTTGTTGAATTGAATTTCAATAAATTTAGACTTTCCAATGACCTTCCAGGGTTCCACAAATGTCATGCTCTTCCTTTGCATTTCTAAATTCTCCTGGGTCCCTAAAAAGCTTCCTTTATTCTAGGCCCCTCTCAAGCTGATCCATTAATTCCTTTGGCCCTGGAATTCAGTTGACAAAGGAGACTTTGGTCAGAAAAAAGCTGTGAAGTGAGCTCCTCTCCTTTGGCACTGCTTCTAGCTTCTTCCTCTGCCTGGGAGAACAGCCACTGAGAAAGGATAGTCAATAGTAACAATATCAAACTCAAATAGAAACTAAATTGTACATGAGGACTCCTGCAGCCTACATATTGACTTAGAAAACCACATATTAACATTATTGATGTTCTATTGCATTTTTATCTATTTTGTTAAATATTTCCCAATTACATTTTAACCTGGTTCAGGCTGCACTGAGGAATGTTGTCCCACTACAAAAAGTGGCCAGGGATCAGCAGGCAGGGTGTTTGAGGCCTCTGGTCTATAGTGCTATGTGGTGGAGGGTTCTAGGGAAAACATCATGGGACTGCCAAATTGGGAAATTCATGTCAGTGGTCTGCCTGTGTGTGTGTTCTGTTTCCTCTCTGAATGATCATTGACCTTTTATACCAAAGCCGACCTAGCCTTCATGGGACTCTCTCATCCATAGCAGACCAGTTCTCCTTTTCCTGGTCAAGAGGCATTGGAAGGCAAACAATGGGAAACGGTGTGACCTGTAGACTTAAATAGTTTGTATGCCATTCTCTCCCTGGACTCAAAGCCAACCCAAAGCCTGAGATTTAGGAACATCTCTTTGGGATCCCTGAAGCTGCACCTGTGGACTCAGTCTACTGGTATGGTATGGTATGATATGGGATGGGATGGGATGGGATGGTATGGTATGGTATGGTGTGGTACGGTATGGTATGGTATGGTGTGGTATGGTGTGGTATGATATGGTATGGCATGATAGCAAGAACAGCAGCTTGGAAGTCAGAATATCAAAATTCAAATCTTCACTTAGTTTCCTATTAGGTGTAGTTATCTCACTTCTTGGGCCCTCAATTTCACCATCCGTGAAGTGAGTGAATTGAATCTCTAGCCTTCTCTCCAGGTCTAAATTCTATGATTCTTTTTCTGCCCAAAACTTTTCCATGAGAGAAGGAAAGATATAAAAATCTATTAAATGTCTATTGGATCCTTGCAATAACCCTGGGAGGTGGGTGCTTTTATTATCCCCATTTTATAGCTGAGGAAACTGAGGCAAGAGAGCAGCTAAGAGACTTACCCTAGGTCACACAACTGATAAATGTCAGAGGTTGGATTTGAACTCATCTTCCTGATTCCAGGACCAAAGATCTATCCACTCTGCCACCTGGTTGCCTCCTGTCAGGGGGAGTACCCACCTGAAACTTCCCCTAGAGCAGGGTTCTTCACCTTTTTTTGTGCCAACTTTGTCAGTCTGGTGACACCTATGAGCCCCTTCTCAGAATAAAATACATAGGATTACAAAGGAAAGCAATCATAGAAATAGAGTTGTCGGGTTATTTTTTTAAACATATTTGAGGACCCCAAGTTAAGAAAAAGGAAGGGAGTAGTACCCAAAGTGCCAGGATTTAAGGCAGAGCCTTTTGCCAACAGCAGATATCTAATCAGTTCAAGCCTGTCATGTTACCCTGCCCCTTCTCTGGAATCTGAGAGAGTGACCCCCCACACCTTTGAGTCATAACTGTCACTCATGGGCCCAAGAGCCTGGGTCCCTGAGTAAAGGATTGGCTGGTTCCCAACAAGACACTGGAACTAATTCTGGAGGGGAAGAAAAGGAAGATGGACAAAATCCAAGTCAGTCTGGTATTTCCTCTACAGGAAGAGGATAGAACTAGCAGTCACCTTATTGGATGAAGTAGAGTAGGTTTGGAGAAGCCGGAAGGCATTCTCCCCTCTGTGTACCTCATTGTAGAAACGAATGGCTGCAGAAAGGGCCTGCTCATAGCTCAGGCTGGACAGAGGGAAAGCCTGTGTGGGGATGAGAGTGGCCACACTGGCCAACAGTAGGACCTTCCTGAGGTGCTCCATGATCCTTCCTCTGCCTCACTGACTCTCAGCCACCCCCTTATATGTCTAGTCTCCCCTGTTTTGTTACGCAATATGAGTCCTTGACATGCTATCCAATTTCTGAAGCTTCAGCCTGTTGTATGGCAGGGGCAGAAAAGGAGGGTCTGAGGGAAGCTGAGATTGTGAAATGATTTCCCATCTATTGTCAGAAACAAGGGAGGGGCTGAGCTGCCCCAGTTTGGATCAACAAGTTGGCCCAAGTCTTCATCCTCTTGCTCAAAGGCGGCCCTTGAGGAGGGAGCTAGAGAAACAGGGAAATGGGAGCCAAATGCTGGGCCCAGAGAGTTGGGGGCAAATCAGATCACTGGAACAGATTCCCTGTGTTCCCAACAACCCCAGTTTTGGTCATGGCTTCTCCATCTCTAGCCACTACACTGGGCTTTGGCAAGAGAGAGGGAGAAATGAAGGATGGGTCCCTTGCAAGTAAGATGATCAAGGGTTCCATGCCATAGGAAGAGTAGGAACAGAAGGAATAGGACCTGAAGCACGGGACCACCCTTCCCTCCCTCTGCCAGACTCTTATTCTCAGAGTCACATGCTTAAGAGCCCTCTGTGTTTGGAGGTAGGGTGAGGGCTCCCCTACAGGGCTCAGTAAAAGCCCCAAGTCAATAGGCAGTACCTACCCTTGCCTATGAGCAGCAGTCTTTTCTTCACTCCCTCTCAATTCTATTCTAAGGCCACCTCAGAGAGTTTGCTGACTCCTGTCTCCAAAGGAAAATAAAATGGCAGAATGAGGATTGAAAAAGATTCGGACAGATTAGAAAGATGGATTTAATCATGTGAAATTTACTTATACTTGAATGATTCAATGCTTCTGAAACTCCCTATTACCTCCAGGGTCAAATATGAAATCCTCTGTTTGCCAAACAAAGCTCTCCTCACTTCTTACATTTCTGTCTTCTTCTACCTTATGCCCTCCACAATCTCAGATCCAGTGACACCACCCTCCTTAATGTTCCTTTCAAGAAACACTCCATCACCCAACTCCAAGAACTTCATTGGCTGCCCCTTATGACTGGAGTGTTCTCCCTCCTCATCTCTGCCTCCTAGCTTCCTTGTCTTCCTTCAGGTTTCACCTAAAATCCTTTGTTGAAGAAACCTTTCCCAGTCCTCCTTAATCTAACCTGAGACGACCTCCAATTTATCCTGTATATATCTCATTTGTACATAGTTGTTTGCCTGTTGGCTTCCCCCCATTAGCTCCTTGAAAGCAAGAATTGTTTGGGTTTTTTGCCTTTCTTCACATCCCTAGTGCTTAGCACAGTGCCTGGTACATAGTAGGTGTTTAATAAATGCTTGCTAACTGACTTGTTTTGGGATTTCCTCTTTGTGATTTATTCTTCCATCTTTGTTGATGGTTGACCCATGAAACAGGAAAAAAAAAGATTAAATGCAATTGGGATAAATGTAAAGCCTTTCTCTTAGGTATACAAATTCAATATACAAATTCAGTGTGGACACTTACCTAGCAAATGGCTCTTGTAAAAATGATGTGAGTTTTAATGGACTGTCAGTTCCGAGGTAAGGCAGCAAGGGCTGGAAGGGGACCAGGGATCGTGCCACACAAGGATTGATTTAAGGCACTGCCATGTGTAGCCTGGAGAAGAGGAGACTTAGGGAAGGATATGTAGCTATCTTCAAGGATATTGAAGACTGTCAGAGAGAAGGGAATTATTCCGCTTGACTCCAAAAGGCACAACCAGAACCATGGAGTGGAACTGCAAAAAAGCAGACTTCAGTCCAGTGTTGGGAAAACTTCCTAACAATGGGAACTGTCCCAGAGTGGAATAGACTGCCTTGGGGAGGTAGTGAGCTCCCCGTCTTCTCTTAAAGTCTACTGGAGAAAGTGGGATGAACAGGATTGTAATGGAAGCTGTTAAGGGCATTCCAAATCCAATTGGGATTAGATTAGTTGATCACCAAGGCCCTCACCAACAGAGATGTGTGATTCTCTAATGCAGTGGACAGTCTCTTTATGTTTAAAACATCCTCTCTTGTACTACAGCAATCTGGGCATGTCTTATTCCATTACTATTCAATGAACTCCATGAAGACAGATTGTGTCCTTTTTTAGCACCTCTAGAAGAAAACACAGGGCATTACCCCAAATGTCACTTAATAAAATGAGAGTGACCACCGTACAAGGGTTAGGAGTATATCTCCCCCACCCCACCCCATGGGCTATAGCTTCTCATTAGTCCATTAGGGAATTATATGTTATGTTATGTTATATTATAATATGTTATAATATTATGTTCTCAGCCCCACAATTTCTTAGGGGTAAAATTTCTTACTTTCTCATGTGACCTTCCTACTGCAGGGGATCCCACAGATGGCTGGCCATGTGAAATGGGGAAATAGTTTTTGTAGGACTTCCTCATGAATCAGCTTTGGGGAAGTTTCAGCAGTCTGAACAGATGAGCAAAATTGTGTCTAACTGTTCAAGACCCCGTTTGGGGTTTTCTTGGCAAAGATACTGGAATGGTTTGCCATTTCTTCCTACGGCTCATTTTATAGATGTGAAAACTGAGGCAAACAAGGTTAAGTGACCTGCCCAACATAACTCAGCTAGTAAGTGTCTGAGGCCAGATTTGAACTCCAGGCCTAGTGCCACCTAGCTGCCCTAGAATCCACCTTAAACTCTGGCAAATTGCAAAGTAAAAGAAGTTTATCTTTGATGTCTGCCAACTCCTGCCTCCCTTTTTGTGCCCATCAAGGCTCACAGACTTTCCCCTGGCTGCCCAACCTCTTCCTGGGGTGGGGAACCTGTGGCCCCGAGGCCACATGTGGCCCTCTAGGTCCTCAAGTGCGGCCCTTTGACTGAATCCAAACTTCACAGAACAAATCCCCTTAATAAAAAGATTTGTTCTGTAGAACTTGGACTCAGTCAAAGGGCTGCACTTGAGGATCTAGAGGGCCACATGTGGCCTCAGGGCCGCAGGATCCCCATCCCTGAGTCCTAGACCAATTCTCAGACCTGGTTTCTCTCCAGGGTCCTGAATTTAAAGACAGCTCTCTTAGAGACTTTGTCCTGAGCCGATGCAGTGATTTAGACTTTGAAATAGAATACAACTGTGGACCATAAGACACAATAGCGATAAACTTACTCTTAAGAAGAGTAAAAGGATATAATTCCCTCAGAATGGATGTTGTTCTCCTCCACCTCCAGGGCAGCAACACTGAGCCACATCTGACGGGGCAGTGGGGCCAAGCCTCAGGAAAACCAAACTCCCAGAGGTAGGGCTTTTTATGCCCCTAGTTCTCTAGGGAGGCCACATCTGGAGTGCAGCTTCCTTATTTCCTTTAAGGAAAACCATCCCAGGCAAGGTAAAATGGCCACAACTCCTAGACACCTCACTTTTTACCTGTCCACACCCCTTGGTGAGGCTCTCTCAATTGCATGTTAAGGCAAAACAATTTAATTGAAGGGATTCACTCCAAGGTGTGAACAGGTGTTTCCTTCTTCAAGCTTCCATGAAACTTTCTTTACACTTCTCTATTGCAGTCAATGTTTGTGTTTGTGCATTAAGCATAGTACAAAGGAAATCAAAGAATTTCAGGTTTGGAAGGAGCTTTAGGTACCACATCGTCCAAACCATGCCTGAAAAAAAAAACCCTTTTCTTTAGAACATAGTCACAAGAGGTCATCTAGCCACTCTCTACCTGAAGACTTCCAGATCTGTGGGAGGATTAGATGATCCCCTGTTCTCCTTGAGCATTCTCTTCTCTTCAGGTTTTCCTGCTCTCTCTTGGTTCTCCTCCTACCTATATGACTGCCCCTTCTCAGTCTCCTTTGCTGGGTCTTCATCCATCATGCCCTCTAGGATGTCCTCCAAGGCTCTGCCCTCCATATAATTTCACAGTCGTCTTCAAGAATGAAGGACAAACAACAACAACGCTTGGTGATCTCATCTTTGAATCCCATGGATCCAACTATCATCTCTATGCAGGTGATTCTCAGATCTATTTGTCCAGCCCTAATCTCTCTCCTGAACACTAGTCTTAAATTTTCCACTGACTATTGGACATCTCAAACCAGATGTCTCAGAGACATCTTAAACTTAACATATCCCAAAGAGAAATCATTTGCCTTCCTCCCTAAACCTCCCACCCTTCCTAACTTCCCTGTTGCTGCTGAGAGAACCCCCATGCCCCCAGGCATCTAAGCCCAAAATCCGGGTGTCATCCCGGACTCCTCACTTTCTCTCTTACCTCTCATATCCAATCTATGGCCATGTCATATTGATTCTACTTTTACAACATCTCATAGACTCTCCCTTCTCTGCTCACTTTCTTCTCATTCTCTTCTTGTCTCTCTCCAGTCTGGCTTCTCACCTCCTCATTCAACTCAAACTGCTTTCTTCAAAGTTACCAGTGATCTCTTAATTGCCAGATCTAATGACCTCCATGTAGTCTTTGACACTCTTGGTCACCCTGCGCCCCTTGAATCTTTCTACTCTCCAGGCTTTCCCGATACTGCTCTCTTCTGGTTCTCCTCTTATCTGTCTGATCAATCCTCCTCCGTCTCTTTTGCTGGATCTCCATCCAGGTCATGCACACTAGGCTCTTCTCTCTATATACAATTTAACTTGGGGATCTCATCAGTGATCATGGATTCAACGACCGTATCTATGCTTATGATTCTCAGATTAATCTCCTGAACTCCAAATTTGCATCTCCAAATACTTATTGGATTTATTTATTTATTATATATAAGACTTACCTATTAAGATATCTGTAGACCTATTGTCTCAGTCTCCTCTCCCTCCCCTTTTCTCCACCCCCCCCCCACATTGTCCCCTCTTCTCTATTTGCTGTTTAGGACAACACTATGCTCCAGATCATCTAAGCTCACATCCTAGATGTCATCCTAGACTTTTTTTTCATTCTTTTATATCCAATCAGCTTCCAAGTCCTGTCATTTCTACCTTCATACCATCTTTCTTATATACCTCTTTCTAGTGAAACTGCCACCAATGTGGTGTAGGCTCTCATCACCTCATGCCTGGACTATTGTAATAATTCCCTGTTTGGACTCCCTGCCCCAAGCCTCTCCCGCACTCCCATCCCTCCTTCATTCAGATATTAAAGATCATTAATATCAAGATCAAGTATGAAAAAATTTTTAAAATATTTTTTAAAAAAGAGCAGGTATGACAATGTCATGCTCTTACTCAGTAAACTTCAATGGCTCCCTATACCTCTAGAATCAAATACAAAATACTCTTTTAAAGTCTTTCATAAACTGGCTGCCTAACTTTCTAGCCTTCTTACACCTTTCTTCCTTCTATGTCCTCTCCAATCTAGTGACACTGCCCTCTTCGAGTTCTTCACAGGAGACATTCTATCTACCGACTCCATACATTTACACTGGCTAGCTCCCGTGCAAATCTGCATGGAGGTGGAGAGGGATGAAGATTGAGAAAAGGCCATTAAATTTGGCAATTAAGAGATCACTGATAACTTTGGAGAAAGCAATTTCAGTCAAATGATGAAGTCAGAAGCCAGACTGAAGAGAAGGAGAAAGAAGGAGGTAAGGAAGTAGAGTCATCAGTTATAGTCTTCCCGAGGATAGGAAAATTAGGAAGAGGGGACAGTTTGGGGGGAGGAGCTTACTAGGAAAAAATGTATTAAATTGAACTGAGTAGCAGCTACTTTGTTCAAAGGCTATGATTGATGTTATATAGACAAATATGAAAAATGACACACACCCTGCCCTCAAAGAGCTTGCAGTCTAATAGGAACATAAGACATGAACTGAACCCTTATAAATGAATGTTGAATTGGTGAAATTTCATATAGCAGTTTTTCTGACAAACTGATGTGAAAATTTGGAGGAAATTATACCTGCGGGGAGAGGTGTAGGAAAGTTGACTGGTTTCAGGAACCACAGGCCTGACTTGTAATCTGGGCTATAGGATCTTACAGTCATAAACTTATATCACTCTGATTTTGTCCCTATTCTTAATCACAGACACAATTAATTTAGCCCTTCTTTGTCTTTTAAAAAATTAATGTAGGCATTCAGTATTGCAGATTTCTCCCTAAAAACCATTTTGGCTGTACTCTACAGACTTTGATAAATTGCATGGATCATCATTATTGTTTAAATAGTTTGTTATAGTATTTCTAATCTCTTCCTTAAACCTAATTATCATTTAATAGACTGAATTTTACTTTCCAAGTAGTCATATTCTTTTTTTATTTGTATTATTTATTCCTAGTTTTATATATCATGATCTATAAGAAGAATATCATTATTTCTTTTTAAATTGAGCCAAGGCTTTTTAGGCCCCAGATTTGATCAGTGATTATAGGAGTTAAACTTGGGGGCAACAAGGTGGTATAGAGGATAGAGCGCTGGGCTTGGAATCAAGAAGACCTGAGTTTCAGAGCGCCCCAGAGAATCACTTCCCTAAAACCATTCAGTTCCTTTTTAGCCACTTCCTCTAAGGACTTCCCTTTCAGTTTGGTCAAAGGTGAACTCAAGAGATGCTTCTCCTAACTGAATTAATAAAAAAAATTTTTTTAAAAAGATATTCGTTCTTAGTCTGATCATTATCCTAATTAGTTTCAGAGAGGATTCCTTCCTGAGATGACTGAGCCTCTTCCTTTAGAACCTGGGTCTTGAGGAAATCATATTGTGATCACCACTTCCCTTTTTCCAGTTTTCACTAATCATCCTTTTAATAATACATTCTAGAATGCTCAGGGAATCAAAGTCAAGTGCATTGGTCTATATTTTGCAGTCACCGTTCTTTCCCCAATCCCTCTTTCTTTTAAAAAATTTTTTAGAAAATCGAGACATTTGCATACCTCCAATTTTGCCAGATCTTAACCATTCTCCATTCTTTCAAATAGCCCTGACCCTGGTCCAGCAATCACACACACTCACCCTTAAAGTACTGAGATGTAGTTCATTTGAACCTTTTGTCTTAGCTCATTAAGAGTAAGTAGGTGCTTCCCTACTTATCTTGGTTCATAACTCCTTATCAAGCATTTCATTCTATCTGTTCCAATACAAAGATGATTCTTGCCAAAGAAAACAGAAGCAAAATGAAATTTGAACATATCAAGTAATTAATTCACAGCATTCAGCTTCGTTGAGGTTTTTTTTTTTAATTTCTTGCACAAGAAAAGATACAAATTACAGACAAACTCTTCCTAGCCAAAATTGTCATCCATGCTGAGTACAATGGACCAATTTAACATAGTTGGAGAAAATCAAATGTGGGTGGTACAAAATCAAGGAGGTACAAGGTTAGAGATTGATACATGCGTATAGCACTGGGAGAACCAGTGAAATAGTGGTCATGTGGGAGATGGTTTTTTTTAAAAAATATATTAATGGATAATTGACTACAAATAGAGGACATGCTTTTCATTGTTTTGCCTACAGGCAGCAAAACTCTGATGGGAAAGAAATTTTTCCATAGTAATTCATGGGTAACAATGTGTAGTCTGCCCCATAGTCCTTTGCTGTATATAATGTTAAGCTCTCTAGAAGCCCAACAAAAAGACAAGTGCAGAGCTCTGATTCCACAAACAGTTTTACCTTCTCTCCATCACAAATAGATAATTATTGTCCCCTCCATGCTAAGTGATCCTCCTTTTTTCCCTAATATATCCATTTTAAAACCTTTTTTGTTTTCCTTAGCTGTCATCACCCCAAGCTCATGCTGAGCTTTAGGAGTCCTGGAACTGTTCTTACAACACAAAGCCATGATTTTGCTTTCATCTTCTTCTCATGTCTTTTAAAAATCTAAGTTGAACTGCAGATAATGTCAGACTTTGGTTAGTTTGGGAAAACTAATTTTTTTTTCATTTTAAAAAATTCTTTGTTATTAAAGATAGCTCTCTGGGAGGGGGTAGAAGGAGAGCTATATTGGGAAATGTAGGTAATATAAAAATGGAAGATATCAATAACATTTATTATAAAAAATAAAATCTAAGTCCAGTGAATTCCTGTGCATGCACCATGTTCTCTTTGGACAACTGTTGCCCTTCTTCTCTATTTCATTCTTGAAAGTTTCCCACTGGGGCAGACTTGTTTCAATAAAGTTATAGTTCATGGAATCTTACCTATCCTTTCTCTGAACCCTTTGAAATATGCTCACTCAAAATTTAGGGTGCATATGAGTTTATGTCCAGTTTTCTTTGTCTCTCACAAATTCTAAAATGGAGTGGTTACTTTTCCTCAAGGTTCTCAACATTCCTACCAACTGGTTTCTCTTTATTGTTGAGAATTGGGTCCAGAAATAGCAATTCCCTCTCTTGCTTCATCTATTTTTTGATGGGTGAAGTTATTAGGTTTTTTTTCAATTTTATTTTTTGATATGCCAGTCCTTATATCCACAACCCAGAATAACCATGCACAAATCCAGGGATCCAGGTCTCTATTTACAAAGAAGGTTGTGCTGAACTGAATACAAGAGCTATATAGCAGAAGAAACAGATGTATGAATGAACAGAAGTCTGCTCTAGCCCTGGCTTTTCCATGTGGACTAAACCTGCTTGTGGTGTAGCTGTTACTCAGCAATGGCCACTATGTTTTTCTTTTTAAATAGTATTTTATATTTTTCCAATTACACATAAAGATAATTTTTAACATTCTTTTTTTTAAATTTTGAATTCCAAATTTTCTCCCTCCTTCCCTCATCTCCCTCCTCCCTGAGATGGTAAACAATTTGACATAGGTTATATATGTGCAATCATGTAAAATACATTTCCATATTAGTCATGTTATAAAAGAACAGGCCAAAAAAAAAAGGCACACAAACACAAAAAGAATAAATAAAGTGAAAATAGTATATTTTGCTCTCCCTTCAGACTCCATTAATTCTTTCTCTGGATGTGGACATTTTCCATCATGAGTCCTTTGGAATTGTCTTGGATAATTGTATTGCTGAGAAGAGCTAAGTCATTCACAGCTGATCATCACACAATGTTGCTGATACTGTGCACAATGTTCTCCTGGTTCTTCTCATTTCATTTTGCATCAGTTCATGTAAGTCTTTCCAGGTTTTTCTGAAATCCACTCGCTCATCATTTCTTATACCACAGTAATATTCCATTACATTCATATACCACAACTTGTTTGGCCATTCCCCGATTGATGGGCACCCCTTCAATTTCCAATTCTTTGCCACCACAGAAAGAGCTGCTATAAATATTTGTGTATATGTCGGCCCTTTTCTCTTTAGCAATGTCTACTATTGACCAACCTAACCATACCCAGAAATCTGGGCTATGTCAGGAAGACTCCCTGCAGCTAGATTAGTCACCCTACCCATAATCCCAGTGGGTGCCTGTTTTTAGGAAGTAGGGAATTCTCTTCAGTCTCCCTCCCAGGAATGTTTCCCCTTAGCTGCTGTTCTTGGCTTAGGGCCTTTGAGGGTTTGCTCTGGTATGAAGGCCTATAAACTGGTGAAATTTGGATAATTTGAGCTTTCAGAGGAAATCATGACCAAGAAGGGTTACGAGAATCCATCTTCCCTTCCTGTGACACTAACTCTGTTCTGAAAGAGGAGTGGTGGTCTTTGGGCTTTTAAATAACTTAAATTAAATCCAGGAAATACTCTGATTCCAAAGCTGTCTGAACTGCCCTGAAGAATAGAGTAAAGATAGAGCCAAGAATCCCAGTGAGAATTTAATGTAAAAATACACCAATTCTGGGTAACAAATTCTCAAAATGGACTTCCTTCTCTCTCCTGTCATGCCTGGAAACTATTCTACCTAAGACTACCTGATAATATTCCTGGTTGTATCTTTTCATTACCCTTCCATGGTCCAGTTTAAAATGTGTCATTCCCAACCCCAATGTGGTGTATAGGCAGACTGCCTTAGTCTGGAGGTAACTGGTCAGAGGACTACCCTAATATCCTTCCCTTGTTACCCCTATGTCTTATTCAGTACCCCATCATGTGTCTATAGTTAAACCATATAGACTTTTCTAAAATGTATCAAATAAATGGGCCCATTACTTTAAGTACTGACTGGTTTATCTAATTCTTCTGCAAAAACCCTTTTAGTCCCAGCGATGAACCCAATTTGCAAGCCAATAACTATTAGTTACTCTGTTTTGGGCAGGGAGCAAATTTTAACAAATAGCCAGATAACTGAAGTCCTCCATCATTACTATATCATGCCTCTGTGACAGGTCTCCTGAACACTTCATCTGTTCCTTCTTTCTGTCCAAGTAGTCTGTAGTATATCCCTATTACAATATAGTTTCTGCTTCTTCTTTTGTGGATCTTCCACCCCTTGTTCCACCCTACCAATGTTCTCCTCCTTGCTTCCCTTTCCCATCCCTTGGATTATTTCATATAAGTATACCTCCTTAATGTACAATGCTACTCTGACCCCACTTTTTGGTTAAAATATTTTCTTCTAAGGCAGAGTCAAGATGGCGGAGTAAAAGCAGTGACTTGCTTGAGCTCTCCCCCCAACCCCTCCAAATACCTGTAAAAAAATGGCTCTAAACAAATTCTAGAGCAGCAGAACCCACAAAAAGACAGAGTGAAACAAATTTCCAGCCCAAGACAACCTAGATGTTTGATTTAAAAGGTCTATCATACCAGGCTGGGAGAGAAACGTAGTTCAGCATGGGCATGCAGGCAAAACAGGCCTCAGCGAGCCTGGAGCAGGCATCAGAGGACTGAATCGCAGGCAGTTGTTGTGGTTTCCAGATTTCTCAACACGCAAACACCAAAGACAACTTAGAAGGTCAGTAAGAAAAGTCTGTTACTGTGGTGAGACAGAAGCTCGGTCCCAGCCCCAGTCCCGGTGCAGCCCTGGGGCGGTGGCTGCTTCTGGAGATTCCAGGCCATAGACTGAGGGGCAATTGAGTGGCTGACCAGAGGGGGATTGCAGGAATCTCTTTGCTGATGCTGAGGCAGGATTCTCTTGCTTTGCCCATGCTTGGATATGGGTCACAGTTCTGGGTGACAGTCCTGGGGCGAGGAGAATACTGGTGTGGTGGAGCTTGTGGTGGTGGTGGAGAGGGAATCCTCCTCACAGCTCCAAGACAGAAAAGAGTGCTTGTGGTCACTCACAGACCAGAGTACAGGCCAGGAAAGGAGTAAACACCTCCCCCTTGATCATAGCACCTTGGAAGAACTGAAAATTTACAGGTCCCTAGAAGTATCTCTGAAAACAGCTGCACAGAAACCCTGAAACTTGAGACAGTACGTTCACTACACTGGAAACAGACCCCTACCTTAACAAAGAGTTTAAAACACAAGTAATTGGCTGGGATCATGAGCAAACAGTACACAAGAAAGTCAGCCCCTAGAATCTTTCTTTGGTGACAAAGAAGATCAAAACATACAACCAGAAGAAGACAACAAAGTCAAAGCCATCCAAAGCCTCCAAGAAAAATATGAATCTGTCCCAGGTCATGGAAGAGCTCAAAAAGGATTTTGAGAAGCAAGTAAGAGAAGTAGAGGAAAAACTGGGAAGAGAAATGAGAGTGATGCAAGAAAATCATGAAAAACTAGTCAATAGCTTGCTAAAGGAGACCCAAAAAAATATTGAAGAAATATTTTTTATTTTATTTTTAAAATAGCCTAACCCAAAATGGAAATGCAAAACACTTCCATAGTAGTCATGCTGTGGAAAACTAATTATATTTCCCATCTCACCAAGTCTCAGCGATACAAATAAACACAACCATGTTTTATGTTCTCTCTCTCTGTACCACCCACTCTGTGGTGAAGATGTGATCTACTGTAGAAAATCTGAAAAAAAAATTGCTCCCACTCTGTATTTTCAAGGATACCCTTGAAACCCATGAAGATCATTCCCATAAAAATGTTGTAGAGATGAGAGAATAGGTGTGAGAGTACCAAACCATTAACTATTGTCTGTCATCTTTTTTTTTCTCTTTTTCAGTCTGTGATCTTTCTCAATTGCAGGGCAAATTTCCCTCTTTCAGATATCTTGAAAATCTTTGACCGCAGCAAATATTTCTTCTGTGAGCCTTTCATCAGGTCTCTCTGCTTTTCCATTTTCTTAAGTGTCATTTCTGCTTTCTCAAATTCCATATAAGATACTGAGATATTAAAAACCAAATATAATATTTCTGATGTCCTCAATGAAAAAATAGGTCATCTGGAACGACTTGTATGGACTGATGCTGAATGAAGTGAGTAGAACCAGAACATTGTACACAGTAACAGCCACGTTGTGCAATGACCAACTTTGATAGACTTAGCTCTTCTCAGCAATGCAAGGATCTAAGACATCTCCAAAAGTCTCATGATGGAAAATGCTATCCACATCCAGAGAAAGAACTATGGAGTCTGAATGCAGATTGAAGCATACCATCTCACCAAGTCTCAGCAATACAAATAAACACAACCATGTTTTATGTTCTCTCTCTCTGTACCACCCACTCTGTGGTGAAGATGTGATCTACTGTAGAAAATCTGCTCTTTTTTTGCTCTTTTTTTTCCTTGTTTTGTTTTGTTTCTTCTTTCTTGTGGTTCCTCCTATCTTCTTTACAACATGACTAATGTGAAAATATGTTTAATAGGAATGTATATATAGAGAGCCTATATCAGATTATGCACCATCTTGTGAAGGGAGGCAGGAAGGGAAGGGGAGAAAATTTAAAACTCAAAAGCTTAGGGAAGTGAATGTTGAAAACTAAAAATAAATTAATTACATAAAAAAGAAAGAAAAAAAGAAAAGAATAGGTCATAATAGAAATGCTGATACATCTAATCTCTTTTCTGTTTATTTGTTGCCCACTTGCCAATTTCATGTATAAATGCTCTCAGTATCATTTGGTTTAATTGTATCTTGCCCAACTTTCTGCAGACTTGTCTTCCCCTCCACTGCTTTTTTTTTTTTTTTTTTTTTGCTGGTGTAACAGGGGACCAGGTAAGACCAGTCCTTATGAGTATGCACAGCTGATGCAATCCCCAAATAGTCTTTGGAGCATGTGTTGGCATTCTATAACTGGTTCCTGTCCACTAACAATGCGGTGAAGAGACAGACTTTTAATTGGCTGCTGAGACGGAACTGAAGTGCTTTCAGAAAGTACCAGCCAGCCAAAACAAATCTCTCATTCTCTCCTGCCTAACTGTTCATGTGAGAGAGGGATGCTGTAAGCCTCTGGAACTGAAGAAGCCTCAGAACCTCCCTACCCAAACTGACACATGGCCAATGAATATGGGTCTCCATTCTTTTCACTTTTGAATTTGTTTTTTCTTGCTTTTAGGTGAAGGACGATTGGCGACAGCATCCATAGGTTGGAATAGTGGGTGTCGGAAGTCCAGGAGTATGTGCAGGAAGCTGAACGTGGGTGAGACACTGAGGAGTGATGTGCTTAACCTAACCCAGCTGTAGCAGAAAAACAGACTCGTCTGCAGCTATGATGCATTTGGAAATGAACTGGGTGAGACATATTTTAGAAACTGTTTGAAGTTTGAGCTCACTCTTCTCAGGGACCAAGGTAATATTAGGAAGGATGTTCAGAGGAGGGGATGTTTTATAATCTCTGTTCTTGCTCTATCTTTTCAGAAAATATCCCTTTGTAAAACATCATTGATGTTCATTGCTTAAATGACACTGGAAATAACAGGAATTTGATATGACTGCCAGAACTGTTGTAACACCACAACATCTGGTGTTTTGCAGGCCTGATGTAATAAATTATGAAAAAAAAAAAAAAGGATTGACCTCAGGGCAGGAAGGGGGTCAAAATTCTGGAATTTGAATTGCCCATGGATCTTTTAGTTCCCTGATTTTCAAAATGGAAGTCGTGTTTCATTTCCTTTTTATTCTGATATTCTGTGTTTCAAAACTTTAAATATTAATTTTAATTGGATCTTTGTGGTTCACAACTGCCATTTATTTTTTTCTGAAGGGAAGGCATAATTTTTATTACCGAAAAACACAAATTGTTAACCATAAAGGAAATACTTGATATAATTTTTTCTTCTAGCAATTTGGAATATGTGGATACACACTATATCTAAGATACATGTAAAATGAAATTTCTGGAAACATAATAGGCTATCATTTCCAGCTGTCTCTCAATGGAGATTTGAAGCAGGGTGAAAGAAACTTCCTAAACTATTCTTTTCTTTACATTTTAATTTGTTATTTATTTATTTTTAACATTCTTTTTAGATTTTGAATTCTAAATTCTCTCCCTCCTTCCAACCCCCTTTCCCATTTACTGAGAAAGCAAGCAATATGATATCAATCATGTATGAAATCACACAAAACATATTTCCATATTAGCCATGTTTCCCAAAAAAAAACAAGAAAAATAAAGAAAGTGAGAAAAATTATGTTTCAATTTGCACTTAGTTCATCAGTTCTCTCTCTGGAGGTGGATAGCATTTTTTCATCATGAGTCCTTTGGAATTGTCTTGGATCATTGTATTTATCAGAGTAACCAAGTCTTTCACAGTCAATCATCATTACAACATTGCTGTTACTGTACACAATAATCTCCTGGTTCTTCTTACTTCACTTTGCATCGGTTCATATAGGTCTTGCAATGTTTGTCTGAAACCACCTCTCTTGTCATTTCTTATAGCATAATAGTACTCCATCACAATCATATGCTGTAACTTGTTGAGCCATTTCCCAATTTTCCTACACTATTCTTTTTTTTTCTCTTTTTAAGCATATTTTCCCATTAGTCATGATGTAAAGAACAATTAGAACTAATTAGGAACCATGAGAATGAAGCAATAAAACAAAACAACAAAGAAAAAGGAGAGCAAATAGTATGCTTCCATCTGCATTCAGACTCCATAGTTCTTTCTCTGGGTGTGGATAGCAATTTCCATCATGAATCTTTTGGAGTTGTCTTAAATTCTTGCATTGCTGTGAAGAGCCAAGTCTATGAAAGTCAGTCATCCCATATTGTGGTTGTTACTGTGTACAATGTTTTCCTGGTTCTGCTCATTTCACTCTGCATCAATGTTCATGTAAGTCTTTCCAAGTTTTTTTGAAGTCTGCCTGCTCATCATTTCTTGTAGCACAATAGTATTCTATTACATTCATATACTACAACTTGTTCAGCGATTCCCAAATTGATGGACATCTCCTCAATTTCCAATTCTTTGCCACCACAGAAAGAGCTGCTATAAATATTTTTATACATGTGGGTCCTTTCCTACACTATTCTTATAGCAAAGGGTATGATTATGCTAGATCTAATCTACCACCAATTGTTTTCCTAAATGGTATAAAGCTCTCCCTTTCCTATTTGAAAGTTTATTTCTGAACAGAGCTCAGAGGAGATGCCAAGTCTTTAGACACATGTTCCATGGGAATATCAACCTGCAAGCTTCAGAGTATGTGTTCTGACCATGTAATAATGACAAAATAGATGTTTTTCAGAGGCAGAAAATGTTCACGTGAATACTTCTGCCATTAAGAAACAATATAGATGATACAGTGTCACCGCTGTAGGAAACTGGCTTGCTATTAATCTGGAGCTAAGAAAACCCTAAGTTTTCTTGAAAATATGAAACAAAGTGACTTGTAAGCATTCTTTCTTGAGAAGAGGGTTAAGAGACATTGATCAAGGAAGGGTTACAAGTATTTCTACCAATAGGCAGATGTGAATTTAATCGTTTTATATGGGAATGATTGGTGCTGTAGGCAGGCAGCCACTCATAGTACCATTGTTGACCTGCAGCAATAAATAGCTTCAAAACAGACTGTTAGTATCCTATCTAACAAGGCAATACTTTCTCCATAAAATTGTATTGTTTGAGACGGATTTTTTTTCATATGCAAATAAACAGGATGCCTCTATTTTCCAATAGGGAAATAGTATAGTAATCATTCCAGCAGCGGTCTTAAAAATATCAACTGGCAAGACGCGTACACGAAATAATTCCGAATGACATCATACACTTAAACATTTCTAGGAGTAATTATGTAATTAAGGCAAAGGGGACTCTGACCACAGTTGTGAGGTCTGCAAACAGATTGCTCCCAGCTAAAGTGGAATGCGTTTATCTTTTCTTGACAATGGGATTAATCGCTCTTTGGAGGAAGACTGTATCTCTTTGTGAACTTAGTGGGTTTTTATCCCACCCCCACCATCCCCATCCCCCACTTACATTTCTAACCATTATCCATGTGTCTTCTCCTCCTCCTTCCCAGCCCCCTCCCCCCCAACGTTTCCCCCCACCACAGTGTGGGTGCAGGTCCTAACAATCTGGCCAAATCAGAAGCCAACAAGATGATTAGGCAAATGCCTATTTCTCAAGCCAGGACTTTCTCTGATAAAACAAATTCCCTAGTCCTGTGACTCATGAGCCTCATTTGAGTAAGCCTTCTTGGATTCTCATTCTCCGGAAACAAGAATCTTAAAGGAAATAACTGTTCTGGTTGAAAGAACATTGAAAGAACAGTATGAAATTTTAACTGACTTCCCCATTTTGTTTTGGACTACATTGTAAGACCCTAGTGTCTGATAAAAATAAGCTTATAAAATGACCCTTTTTTTCCTAATTTTTACCTCACCTTTCCAAAAATTTGTTTACAACTGTCTTTAAATATCATACTTAATTTTATTGTAGAAACCAAAGACAACTTTAGAACTACTAAAACTAACTTTTAAAAACGGCATTGTATTCCCTAAGCAGAATTGCAGAGGAGTCTAAATTGAGGAAGGATCCCAGAGCAAGGGGGGAAGTGAGACTCAAGTGTTCTTTGCGTTTAGGTGAACAAGATGCAAGGGAATCTGATCTATTTGCAGGCAGTAAACAAGTAAATGTACGGCAAAGGAAGCTGCTGATTTTTTTTTTTAATTTAAAAAAAATTTTTTTTGGAAGCTGCTGGTTTGCTTTGTCTTAAATTTCTCTACAGAGCTGGAGGTAGGAAAAAAAATGGACTACCTCTTATTGCTCTATAAATGTCAAACTTCAGAGAAATCACGTGCTCTTCTCCAAGAACCAGACTGACAGGATGGAGGCAGGACCTTCACTTTGGGGGCTGTTGGATCTGCTGTGTTGTCCTGTGAGAAGGATGCTTTTCCATAGAGGGGCATGTTCTTTGGTGAGTCATCTGAGCTGCAGCAGAAGGGGAGTCTTTGTCACCCCTTGCAATAACGCCAGAGATGTGCACAGTTGGTTTAGTTGGGGTGGTACTTTCCCATTCTTGATCATCTTGATCCTTCTCTTCGTTGGCATCTTCATCGTGAAGGTGCTTCTGCACAATTCTCATTCCACCAGCTTTTATCTCAGGAGGATGTACAGCTCTGGTCTCTACTTTCTTGTCAACAGGTGAAGACATTATGGACACTGATTTGCTGTCTCCTTTTTTGTCTTAGTTCAAGGGCCTAGGACCTAGGACCAAGGTGACCAGTTTCAATAAAAGAGCCCAAGCACATTTTTGAGTTGCAACAGCTGGAGCACTGGCTGGTCAGGAAGGCACGCCACACCCAAGCCTTTTATAACTGCCATTTTAAAAAAGAAAAACCTTAAATCTGATGAACTAGACCAAATTTGGTCTTAGCCCATAATACTGGGGTACTAATAACCAGTAGTTGACATTGGGAAGATCACTGGATTGGAGACTGAAGCCAATAGCTTTAGAAAAGCACCCCCTCAGGGGTATCCCTAGAACTATCAGGGGGAGACTTATCCTATGCTCAACTAGTATATGAGAGTGAGAGTTGGGATAAAGAACTCCAGAGCTTATAAACGCTGCCCTGTTTTGTGAACTGACAACTGTTTATTTCTTGGTTTCCTCACTGTTAAACTATTGTCAATTTTACTTCATCCTATCCAGGGCCTTCCCATTTCTCTGGAAGAAACTGTTCTTGCCATACATGGGCAAGGTTACTACGCAGTCTATATGACTTTGGCTTCTTTCATTTCTCAGTCCTGAACCAGTCTCTTCAGTATCTTTTTCCATCATCCTCTCTTATGCCTACTTTTCCACATTGAAGTCATCGAAGGATGAACAGAATTTGCTATTGGGTTAAACAAGACCAGAGTCAACATGCCAGGTCAGATATTATATAGAAGCAGAGCAAAGATGTCATAATGCCAGTGTGTGTAGTGGGAGGCACATAATTCAAACATCATTCCTAAAGAAAAAAACCCTTAGCACAGCCTCCTTCCTGCCCCAATACAGATAAGGGGGTGCAGGGCCATCTTTTATCTTAGAAGAACAGCATGATTGTGGGCAAACACCACAACCTGGCCTGGAGATTCCATATAACTAAAAAGTTGCAGCCCCTACTGTAAGAGAAATCCCAGTGTACAAGTGGCCTCTACTAAGAGCCACTGCCTGCTCTAATCTACCTGGACCTCCAATCTCAGGTGCTATATGGGGGTAGGCCAGAGCCTAGGAATGTGACCTCAAGTGTCATATAGAATGTAAACTATCTTGAGTAAATGCAAACAGCAGAAGATCCAACTATCCCATGGGGACACTTGCACATTGGGCCATCCCTGGCACTCTGCCATCTTTGTCCTGCCTCTGTGTAATATCTAATTTGGCCTAGGGTTGGTGCAGAGATCCATTATACAATTCTATTTTCCTGCTGCCAAGGACTGGGTCTCATGAGTAAACTCCCTTAAACAATCCAATTAACCTAACAAATCCTAATAAACCTATTATGCAACCAAGCTGGCATGGCCCTTCTTTGTTCGGTATGTCATCATTCTCTCGGAGGGTCTGTGTCCCTACAATTGGCATATCAGGGCAGAACAAATCAGTTCCCTTACATTTGGCCTTATAATTGGCATAGCTGGCAGGATAGTCTTCCCTCTTACAAATCTGGTGACCTTACAGGTACATGTTGACCCTGGTCTTATATAACCTAATAGCAAATTCTGTTCATCCTTCAAGGCCCAGCTCAAGCTTGTACTCCTCCATGAAGTCATCCTGGATTGGCCCAGCCAATTCTGGTCCCTTTTTTTCTATGAACCCCTACCCAGACTGTAAATTTTTCTACTTGTTAGGCACTTACAATGCTTTAATACTTGCACAAATGGCTGATTCAGTTCAATAAGCATTTATTAAACACCTCTTATCACTATGCTATGGGGAAACTAAGACAAAAAATGGAAACATTGCTGCCCCATATTCTACTGGGGTGATACAACCTGTATACACACAAGTAAATGCTAACTAATTTGAGGACATGGCAGAGAGGTCTCACAACACAGGCATCAGAAGAGGCTTTGAAGAAAAGGTAGCACACAAGCTGAGCTGTGAATGAGTATCAGGATGCTGAGAGGTATGAGGGACAGGATGGCTTGTGAGAAAAGACAGGCAGGAGTTGGAATCCTGAGTTCAGAGAACAAATGATAGTTCAGTTTGGCTGAAATTTTAAATGTGAAATAAGCCTGGGAGGGCAGGTTGGATCCAGATGGTAGAGACTCATAAAGGCTGAGTTTGCATTTTATCCAAGAAGCAATGGGGAGCCACTGAGGATTTCTGAGCAGGGAAGTGTCATTGTTGATGATAAGTTAAGGAAGAAAGACTGAGGAATGGGGCAGGGAAAAAGATGGGGAAAGAGCAAGAGAGAGAGAGAGAGAGAGAGAGAGAGAGAGAGCCTTTCACGGAACTATTTCCTATCTTGTGGTCCTTTAGGACCATCTACATTTAGTATATATTCTACATGAAACCTCTCCTAATCCACCTACTACTAGTGCTTTCCTTCTCTGCATTCAAATTACTTTTTTTTGTATTTCTTGTATATACTTAAATACATATATGTGGCAGGTTTGAAAGCAAACACAGCCATGAATAGTAAGGCAAATGGATGGGATTGATCATAGCTCATTTGTCTATCACTCCTCAGCCTACCACTTGCTTTATTCTTTCATTTACTTTAATACTCTCAGGCCAGAGGGCCCAGATTTCTTTTTTGTTTTGTTTTTGGTGAGCCAGTTAGCGTTAAGTGACTTGCCCAAGGTCACACAGCTAGTGAGTGTCAGGTGTCTGAAGCCAGATTTGAACTCAGGTCCTCCTGACTTCAAGGCTGGAGCTCTATCCACTGCACAACCTAGCTGCCCCAAGGCCTAGATTTCTTAGGACAGCAAACCAGACATCCTTGAAGGATAGCTTGGTGGCGTAAAGATATTAGGCCTGACTGCCTTATGGTAACTGGTTTCCTCCAAGGTTAGCAGGATTCCTTGAGGCAAGAATAGAACAGTGATTAACAAAATAACTGGATTTTTAAACTTAACCCATTACAAACCAACTGAATTCTGAACTAAGTTCAGAGACAGAGAACCATGACTTAGGCAGTCACAGGACAAAATCAATTATTCATTAAAAGGACCAATAAGGAAATGATGAAGGATCAATTTTAATCTTCGCAGGTTATCAGAAGCGGGTGTATTTCACTGAAGTCACTTTGGAACTTAAAACCATTTTGCCTTTTTAACATCTGTTTTACTAAGCTTCCTTACAGACATAGACATTGACTTTAAGAGCCAAATGGAATATTGTGGAAAAGGGAGTTTGAAATTAGAGTTGAAAATGTCTTGTTATGAGGTACTTCCCCTTATAGAGACAAGGAGTTGTGCTTTTGATCTTTGATCTATGAGGATGTATGAGAAAAACTATGGAAAGACAGAGAAAGAAGATGAGAATAAATTTCTTTCTTGTGATAACTGTCTTTACTTATTTTACAAAGAAACAACGTAAAGAGAATTTTATGAGGCGTGAACCTGAAAGATACTTTATAGTGATAACTTGTCAGGCAAGTGAATTGATGTAAAGTGAAACAAGCAGGTCCAGGAAAACAATATATACCATGACTATTGTAAATGGAAAGGTCAACAACCACAAAACAATAGAAACTGAATGTTGCAAGAAAAAAATTATAATGAACAAGCTTGGCCCCAAAGAAGATGCTTGAGGAGACATCTTCCCCTACTTCTTTATAGAGATTGGGGTTCACAGGTTCAGAACATTCCATATAAAATAAGATTTTTTTCAATGTGTTGATCATTTTGATGATTTTCCCCCTCTTTTTTCTTCTTTAAAAAAAAAATAGGGGTAGCTTTGTGGCGCAGTGGATAGAGCACTGGCCCTGAAGTCAGGAGGACCTGAGTTCAAATCCAGCCTCAGTCCAAACACTTGACACTTACTAGCTGTGTGACCCTGGGCAAGTCACTTAATCCTAATTGCCTAAAAAAAAAATCTTTGTTATGGGGGATAGCTGTGTGTAAGAGGGAGAAGAAGGGACACAAGGAGAAATCTAGATGACATAAAAATAAAAATTATCAATAAAATGTATTCTTTAAAAGTTGGTAGCTTAAGAAAATCTAGAGATTGATTTGCCTGAGATTGCTGATGAAAGGACAGAGAAAAAGAATAAAATTCATTTCCTAAGTGACTGAATTTAACTCTTTTATTAAAGAGAAATACAAAGTCAAGATAGGTCAAGCCAACAAGTTCTTATTTATTTGGCTAGGCAATGGGGTTAAGTGACTCGCCCAGGGTGACACAGTTAGTGTCAAGTGTCTGAGGCCAGATTTGAATTCAGGTCCTCTTAACTCCAGGGCCGGTGCTCTATCCACTGCACCACCTAGCTACCCCTCAACAAGTATTTATTAAGGAAGGAAGGTGCTAATGGGGAGGAAGAAGTAAACACAAGCCTTTATTAAGTATTTACCATGTGCCTGGCACTATGTGCTAAGTGCTTTACAAATATCTCATTTGAACTTTACAACAATACTAGGAAGTATTTATCCTCATTTTAATTTGAGTAAACTAAGGCAGGCAGAAGTTAAGTGACTTGCCCAGGATCACAGTTGCTAATGAGTGCCTGAAGGCCTAACTGCTTATTAAGGTTTACTACATCCTAGATACTGCTAAATTCTGGGAATATAAGTACAAGGAGAAAGACAATCCCTGACCTCAAAGAGCTTACATTCTAATGAGGAAAGATAACACACAAAAAGAAACTGAAAAGAGTCGAGGGTAGAAGGGAATCAATCTGGGACATGATAGAAAAAGTCCAGAGAGTCCGAAAGTGCAACCTGGAAGAGTATTCTTGATTTCTATCATATCTGAGAGAATTGAAAGAT